AAAATTATAAGACCTTGATAAACGGTAATTTATCAGTACATACAAGTAATTTGTATGTAAATATCATATGATCTTATACATTTATAATATTTTTTTAACTAATAAATAATATATATATATATATATATATATAAATTAACAACAATAGTAAATAAATAAAAGTCATATTATTACTTAATAGGATATTATGGAGAATAGAATTTCATATTGTTTTAAATAATTTTATAGTATTTAAATAAAAATATTTCTTTTTATTGCACCCCGTGCATCGCACGGGTATCAACACTAGTAATAATAATAATAATAATAATAATAATAATAATAATAATAATAATAATAATAATAATAATAATAATAATAATTTTAATAATAATAATAATAATAATGATAATAATAATAATAATAATAATAGATAATTAATTGATCATAATTTTTTAAAACTACATTATCCACTATATTGTATTCAAGTAGTTAAATAATTTAATATTGTTCATATGCACATTATCAAGTATACCTAAAAACGACAAATAATTAATTAAATTAATTTCGCATAAAAGAACATTGAGGTAAAAACAGAGAACACGGGGAGAGACCACAAGCAATGGAAGGTGTAAGCAAAACCTCTGTATTATCCTTCTCACTACCAAAGCTTAACTCTCCATTTCAAAACACGGCGCCCTCGTTTTCTCCCTCGAAGCATATGCAAGCCGACCCCATGTGGGCCCCAAAAATTTCACCCAAATTCACCAAGATTCGGTGCAGGCTGTCCGAGGGCGAGCAAGGGTTTAACGTCATCAGCTCCGAGAGGCAAATCGAAGATTACAACACGGCCATGAAGAAGATGATGTGGAACCCTTATGAATATCATCACGATCTCGGTGATTTCTTGTTTTCTTTTTCTTTTTCTTTTTTTTTTGGGTTTTGATTTTTGGGATTTTGTTTGTGTTGCTTCGTGTGGTTTCTTGATTTATTTGCTGTTAAATTATTGTTTTTTTCTTTAAGAATGCTGTTTATAGATTGTTGCCGTGAAATAGTTTGGACAAAGTTTACTAGAAAAGTGGATCTCACCAAGTTCTGTTACCTTTTCTTGATGGGCTGATTAACACAACATACCCGGTATATTCCCAATTGGTTGGGGTTTGGGGATCAGTCGTACGCAGACTTACCTTTGTAATTATACAAGGAGGTTGTTTTGGTAGCGACCCAAGGTGCATTGCGTCGTTTGATATACTTTTTTTTTTCTAGAAACTTCACTAATAGAACGAAGCACTAGAAGTTATTTGAGCCATTTTGATCTAGTCCATTAGCACTATGCCAGGAGAATTGTCGACAATGACTCTTCCAGCTCCATTTGCAATGGACAACCTTGATGGGCTGATTCTTTTTTTTTTTTTTTTTTTCTTTTGGATATGAAAAAATCGTGCTTTTTAGAAAAAGATGAAAGAGAATGTGCTGTGTTCTGCATTTCCCTGTACAAAAAGGCTCTAATAAGCATGAAAATGCTATTGAATCACATAAAGGGCATCATGAAAGGTTGGAGCTTTCACAGTGAGTTTATGTTTTAAAGTGTCCTAATGTAGTAATGTATTTGTAGTATAGGGAGATTCTACGGTCCCATGACGGAACCATTTCGTCGGAGTTTGTCACCGGTAGATCAACTATTCACAACGGTTATCTAACGGTTACAAATCCCGACGGAACGTTTTCGTAACGGGACTGTAGCATTTCCCTGTTGTATTATAATGTTGTTTTTATTTTATTAGTCTAATAGATTTTGGGATTTTGTTGTTTGTGTTGCTCGTGTAGTTTCCGTGTGTATTTAACTGTCGTAAAACAATAAGAACAAAGTTCACTAGAAAAGTCGACATTACCGAGTTCTTTTACCTTTTATTGATGGTCCGAATCTTTTCCGATATGAAAAAAATTTGTGTTTTTTAGAAAGATGAAAGAGAATGTGTTTGTGTTTTAAGTTGCCCCGTGCAAAAATTTTGTAATAAGCATAAGAATGCTATTGAGTAGTACAATGAGAGGTTGGAGCTTTCGTATTGAGTTTACTGTTTGAACTGTCCTAATTATTTGATACAAAATATTTGTGTTGCAATAATTATTTGATAGAATAGTGGGATTAATATGGAGTGTAATGCGAATATCTGTGACTCTAGGCATGAACTATACGTTGATAACCGAAAATCTGATCGTGGGCTCGCAGCCTCAGAAAATTGAAGACATTGATCATCTAAAAGAGGAACATAATGTGGGATATATTCTCAACTTGCAGCAGGATAGAGATGTCGAGTACTGGGGCATAGACTTAAGATCCATTATACAAAGATGCAAAGAACTCGGGATTCGTCACATGAGAAGGCCTGTAAGCTTAATTCTTTGTTAGAAAAAAAAAAGTTATTTTCCTTTTCTTTTCTTTTTTTTTTTGGGTGAATTTTAAAATTGAATATTTTTGGTATACTCGAACAAAATTGAACAAAATTTTCATTGCAGCAATTCTTTAGAGAAAGGTATTGCCTTCAAAATTTTATCTTCGAGTTTTAAGTAATTTTAGCCTACATTTTCAGGCGAAAGATTTTGATCCAGAGTCGTTAAGACATGGATTACCAAAAGCTGTTTCGGCATTGGAATGGGCAATTTCGGAGGGAAATGGAAGAGTATACGTCCACTGTACTGCCGGTTTAGGAAGGGCACCAGCTGTTTCTATTGCTTACATGTTCTGGTTCTTAAATACGAACGTAAGTCCATTATTTTTCCTCAAACAAAAAAAAAAAAAAAA